CAGAAGGTGGTGTTGAGCTCCCAGAGTTAAATCTTTAGTTTCCAAGCCTCAGCTCCAGAGACTGATTCATTCTGGGGATACATATCACCCATCCATCTGTCTCCGGAGCTTGTGAGTTCTCCATACAAGTTTATTCCTTGGCAAAAAGATTTTCTTTTTGAAATCTAGGTCAAACAGACTCCTTACATGAGCTAGCCAAAATATTTGTTTTCTTGCTTTTAACTCTTTTTAAAAAAATATTATTGCTGTACAACTCCAATTTTTATGTGTTAATTATTGTATTCTTTTTGGGATCTTTATTTGCTGTGGTGAAATAGACCAAGAGAGAAAGTGTCAGAAGCCTTGATCAGGCAGGCACGAGCCTCACCTAGCTCCCTCCTTCCTGGTGTAGCCAGGGTTGGCTTTTGCTGTTCTCCTGTGCTGAGGCCAGAGTTGGCTTGCTGCATCAACTGAGTTGTAATACGACATCATCACACTGGGAGAAGCTGACTTGGTGGATGTGGTCTTTGTGTAGGAGGTGCTTTGTTGAGAGCAGACGTCAGATTTTCCTTTCTTCCCAATTCTTCTCTGATTCTTTCACAATATGAGAGGCAGGATCTCAAAATTAGATCCTCTTCCCTCTATAGCTGCTCACAGGGCTGACAACAAATCCTTTATTTTTGAGTTTCCTCCACAGATTCCAAAATATCAATTTTCTCTTTGCAGATCACAGGATTATTAACAGTTTTTACCCATGCAATATTTGAAGCCGACACAGTATTTTAATTGTCATATACCCCTCAGTAATGGATGATGGTTTTGAAAAAGTTTGTTTTCAGGAGGTTAATGTTGCACATGATTTGAGGGCAGAGAATAATCTCCAGACTCTGCTTTTAAAAATCTTTGTGCCTACTTTTTTCTTCCTTAGACACAGTCATCACCATATTTTTAACAAGTATTCTGGTTTATATCTGGGATGTCTCCAAAATCTCACATGTTGAAACATGGCCCCCAGTTGTGGCAAGATGGAGAGATGGGATTTTAGACCATGATTGGATCTTGGGGGCTCTGACTTCTGTGGACTAGTCCAGTAACAACTGAATGGATGATTGGAAGGGAACTAGTTGGAGGATGTGGGTCACTGGAGCAGCCCTGAACAGGACCATCTTCTTCCAGCACCTTCCTCCTTCTCTGCTGCCTGGCAGCCATGAGCTGAAGAGCTTTTCATGCTCTTTTTCCCTGATGTTTCTGTTTTGGAGTGAGACTACCATGGCTTGAGTGCTCTGAAACTGTGAGCTGAAATAAATGTTTCCTCTTCTAAGTTGTGACTTTTAGCTATTTATGTCAGAAATGAAATGCTCACTACAACAGAAAACCTACTAGTTGGCATGTCCTTATCCAGTGTCCTATTTTTTCCCTGGTGCTGAATTTAAGAACTTCCTGGTGATGACACTTGGTACCTACAGGGGTATTTCACTAAGATTGTCTGTAGACCATCAGCCTCCTGGGCATCTCTTCCTAGAGGACAGGCTGAGGATTGGGGTGGAGACTTGGGGGAAAACTGGCTGGTCTGGGGCTTAGAGGCATCTCCTTTATCCATTTGTATTTACATCATAACCCCTTGGAACGTGAATATTTTTCCTGTAACTTCCATTACATGCAGATTTTTGTTGGCCTACAAATTGGATCATGGTGTTGAGGGGAAAATACAGAATTCCTTCTCCTCTCTGCATTTTCTCTGAGTTGTGAATACAAGGAGAGTATCCCAAAGTTCAAGGAAAACCCACACCCTTCAGGTGTACAAGAATCCACACTGTACTTCAGTAAGAATGGGGTGGGAAAAGGTCCAAGGTGTCAGGATGCCTTGACTTTAACCTTGGGTCTGACCTGTCTGTTTTACAGTCAGCTCTGCTCTTCCTGGGCTTGTCACCTTGAAAAGATTTCTTTACTTACTTCAGCTTCAACTTTTCCCTAACTGTAAAATGTATTTTACTAATAAAGCTTCAAACATAAAAAAATATATCCAAAGCTACAGTATACAGTTGTACTTTAGGAAGGAAGTCAGTCTTATGTTATGTTACTTTATTAAAATGTTTTATTTGCCTTTCTTCTCCTTCACAGTGTTTTTCATGGGATTTTCTTGTGCTCTGTGTTTGGGAGGTGATTTTAAATGGAATTCCCAGGCTTAGCTTTGGAAATTTTACCAGAAATAATAAATAGGGAAAATCTATTTCCCATTTTGGCAGCATAAAAATGAATGTAGTTTTAAAAAACTGATTGGTAGCTGCCAGGGTAAATCCCATATACCAAGTCATCACCTCCTCATCTATGAAACCATGTGATAGTCAATATGTGGTAGATCTTATCATATCGATATTGGAGTTTAATACTAAAACATGTGAGATAAGGTTTGGCAGATCCTAGAATTATTCACATGATTTGTGTTTAGTAAATTATTTGTTATCATGGAGATAGTAACCAAATATTACATTTGTTTTCTGAAAAAGGTGGATGTTTTTTCCATTTCAGGTATGAATGTAAGTCCTTTACACTTTTCTTGCCTCCCATGGACTGAGTTTGGCCAGACATTGTGAGTGATGCATGCCTGGGATGCCAGCTACTCAGGAGGCCAATGCAGGAGGATTGCATGGTTTACATCAGCCTTAAATGCTTAGGGTCACCATGACTCAAAAAGTAAAAAAGGGCTACAGATGTTGCTAGTGGTAAACCTGTAAACAGTCCCTAGATGCAATCCCAATCAGAAAACAAAATCCCACTGAATGTGAATACTTTTACCTATTAAGTAGTGATACTTTCTCATCTAAAACTAAATGAATAAAATCGGGAAGCAGAGAGGTTTGAGTTAATAATCTTAAGCTTACAAAGGAAGGTCCTTGGGACCCATTTTTTTTTCATGAGTCCCATATTTTCCAGATATGGGTTTGAATGGTAGGTTATCATTCCTGAGAAGGAATCCTAGAGAAGTAGGAGGAAGATGTAGTTGTTTTCCAGGAGTTTCCCAGGTCAGGGGCAGCTTTGAATTTTCCTCCCAAACTACTATGGAACATGCAGACTGTTACTTCTCCACTGTTCCAGTATTGTGTTTAACATGTTTAAATCCACTTTGCTTCACTTTCTTATCACAACAGTCAATTTGAACTCTGTTTAAAACATATATGGTGCACATGTCCTCCTATATCAGGAGCCCTCTGTTCTTTCACTTCATCAAAGCCAGGCCAGGCATACGTGACCTGCGGGATTCAAAAGGTTTTCTTTTTGGTAAATGGACATCAGATTGTCTTGGTATCTTAGATTCCCATTGAGGATGTTTCTGGGTCATTAGAAGAAGTGAACCCTGCTTTGTTTTCATTCCATCTGGATGCTCCACTATCTATAAATACACAAAAGTTAATAAAATGCACATTCATTGCCCCAAAGAACGAAGTAAGTCTAAAAGAACAGAATGATTAGAAGAGACTCAATCTCTACAATGCCATGGAAAGTCTGCTGAAATACTTACTATGTCATTTAGTTTTGATTTGGCCACAGACATCACAGCAGTGATGATGTGTCCTTTTATATTGATTGATACTTTTTACCAACTTGTTCCATTTGTTCTTCAACTCTTTTAACCTTATTTGCTTTGTATAAATGCTGTCTGCCACATTTTCCCTATAATGTTATATGTCTTTCTCTTTGTCTTTAGGTGTTTTGGTAGGATTTTCTAAATAATCTACATAAACCATCATATTTGATACAAAAACTCTTCTTTCTTAATAATTTTTCTTCATGGCCTGCTTTGGGTAAAGCAGCCTCTGCCTGTCTTTTGTTTAATGGAGACACTGGCTTTATTAACAGAGCTCCTGAAGCAGACCACAATCCTGTAGGCTTTCATTTTATTCTACCTGCAGCTCACAATCATAATCTCATAACATCTTGCATTTTCCATGAAAGAAATAAGAATTATATCTTTCCAAGTGTGTGAAAATTGTAATGTCTTCTTCTAAATAATTTTTTAGTAACAGGGACAACATGAAGAGTGTAAAAGATTCAGTAACTGTGGCTCTTATTTTATTCCCTATCCTTAAAGGTGTCTATCTCAATGCCTTTTAAGACAGCATTCATCCAAAATTGATTTATGTTTTAGAACCAGGAATATATGTCATATTTACATTTACATGAAAATTTGTCTGTTTTTTCAATGTATAAAGATGACATATCTACTTATGTATACATGAAACATAAATAAATATCATTTGATCAATCTGATCCTGTTTCTATTTAACATTTTTCAATTAGTCCTCTCATTAATAATCACTGTCCTGCTCTGAAAATTCTAATGCTAACATTTTATGTTGACTTTAAAGCTCCCCGTGCTTTTATTTTGAATTACAGGTCAAATAGACTTGGGTAAAAATCAAGCTCTACCATTTATTGGGTGTTTGACAAATTGTCATAAAAGATGAATACCAGTACTACTATCACATTCTTTTGGTTTTCTTCATTAAGACCTGAAAAACTCTTAGTGAGAAGTATAGATTTGCAATGATCTGTGAATGATCAAATGGTCAGTGTGCTATTAATTGATCTATTCTTATTTCAGATTGGAATTACTGCTACATTTTCAGAAAATCAGGTCATATTTTAGTGAATCTCTGATTCATGGCTGTGCATTTGAAAATTTAGAACTACCCTTCTTACTCACCAGAACATTCTCCTTTGAGAAATAATTGATCTTATGATATATAAAATCACAATTAAAATGTATATTCTTGTGTTGATGCCTTAATTTTATATTTTATTTTGTAAAGTTGGAGTATATAAACTTTTTGTGGACTTATAATACTCTTTCCTCAGAATTAGAGAATATCACTGTTACAAAGTATTTTCTTGAGTAATTAAAGTCACTTACCTACTTGAGAACCAGTTCTACTAACTCTCATATCATCTTCAGTCAACTTAGAAGCTCTGTGAATGGTTAATTGGTCAGTGTGCTATTAATTTACCTATTCTTGTTTCAGGAACTGTTGACATTTAGGGATGTGGCCATTGATTTCTCTCAAGAGGAATGGGAATGCCTGGAGCCTGCTCAGAGGAATTTATACAGAGATGTGATGCTAGAGACCTACAGAAACCTGGTCTTCCTGGGTAAGCAGAGCTTCCTTTCAGTGATATGGAATGATGTGACCTACATGTCAAAATCCAATTTCTTCCCTTTATGGTACCAGAATAGAAGCATCAATACTCTCAGTGATAATTCCAACAAATAGTTCATTTTGCAATGAACACATTGCCTCTAAGCTGTATTTGGACACCCTCACCTGGTGCAAAGGAAAGAGCCCTGAGCTATGTACCCAGCTGGGCAGAAATTCATGAAACAGAGGACACAATTGAGAGGTCCAAGGCAAGGAGGAAGCCAAATACAAATGTTAGTGGAAAAGTTATTATGCCATAGAAATGGTCTTCCAGCAGCTTAGGTTTATTTCTAGTGCTGTCCTAGAAGGACACATACTGCCCTATGTTGAACATGGTTTCCTTTTTAGTCTCCTCCTTCTCCTCCATGGATGTCTGTGTTGAGTCAAATCAACAGCCCAAGCACTCCCCTTTGCCTGTGAGGTCAGCATGATCTGACGGCATTTTCATCATTTGACGTGTCTGTCAGAAATCTGTGCACAGTTCTGGAGACCTCGAGGTGAATCCATTTTAATATATTAGTATCATACAGCAGTGTATCTGATATCACTTAAGTATTTATTAATTAAAATTCCCATATCAAAACTCATTATGAATACTTATAAAGAATATTCTGTGGAATTTTTCTGCCATAGAGTGAATGTCAGTGATTCACAGTGGCTGTTCATTTTGGTTATATGGTCACAGGGGATAACTACAATTATATAAAAGGGTTTGCAAAATAATCCATCCATGGGTATTCAGAATTTTGTTGGTTAAATTTTTTTCTTTTTTTCTTTGCTGTAGTTCATTTTATAGGTTAGATTTCAAGATATAGTATAGGTTTCCTCACATCAGTTAATGTTTCCATCTTTTTTAAACCTACATTTTATAGTTCGATGGCCATCTCCAATATTTCACAAATTAGGGCAGTGTAAGATGAAATTAAGTTATGGGGCTGGGGATGTGGCTTAAGCGGTAGCGCGCTCGCCTGGCATACGCGCGGCCCGGGTTCGATCCTCAGCACCACATACAAACAAAGATGTTGTGTCTGCCGAAAACTAAAAAATAAATATATTAAAAAAAAAAAGAAATTAAGTTATGCCTGATTCTTGTTTCCATTGTCAATACAATTATATTTGCTTCTGTTATTTTATTTTATTTTTGTTTCTATTGCCAGTAAAATTACATTTGAGATAAAATATATTGTATCTCAAAAATTTTTGTTTTAAAGTATGTTGCACATATGATAATTATTTCTGGTCACTTTTGTGTGTACTATTCATATACACCTTTGCCTTCACATTGCATCTTTAGATTTAGTCTCTGGTAATCTGCATACAGTTGTCATTTTTTAAATAAGTTTCCTCTGCTTCTTTTAATTCTTTTCCCTTCTTTTTAAATTGGGTTATCTTGTGGTTCATGAATTGTTATCATGACATTATTTGATTCCTCTTTCACTTCCCTTAATTCTATGAGTATTTTGTCATTTGCTTTGATATTTTACAAAAATAATTTTAAGCTTACAGTAGGTTTTTAACTGGCAACAAATTAACTTCAATTTCATAACAAAATTCAGTATATTTATGTATCCTTTGAAAATTATGTTATTGATGGCACAGTTATTTTTATATTCCATACATATTTAGAGTTTATGATGATTTTTATGTTTTTATACTTCAAACTCTATTGAAAAAGTGTTTTATGACCCATCATTCCCATAAAATTAAATTCTATATTGGTATATGAATTTTGTAGTACCTACCATGAAAACTTTAAAATTTCATATGACTTGTGTTGCTGTGCACATTTATTTTATTTTTCAAATGGGATGATTCACTTTAATATTTTTTGAAGGAGAGGTCAAGTAGTTATAAATGGCTGCATTTACACATATTTAAATCTTTATTTTTACTCACATGAAAATATAGTATTTCTTTTTTAAAATATTTTATCTTGTAGTTATAGTTGGATACAATACCTTTATTTTGTTTATTTATTTTTATGTGGTGCTCAAGACCAAACCCAGGGCCTCATACATGCTAGGCAAGCACTCTACCGCTGAGCCACAACCCCAGCCCGACATGAAAATATAGTATTTCTGATTATAGTATTATCAGTTGGTAATTTTGTTGTTTTCCCTTTTGATGCTATTCCTGAGTTCCTTTCTGTATTGCAAGGTTTCCATTTCATCTCACTCCAGCCACAATGGCAGCTATTAAGAATACAAACAACAGTAAGTGCTGGTGAGGATGTGGGGGAAAAGGCACACTCATACACTGCTGGTGGGACTGCAAAATGGTGCAGCCAATACGGAAAGCAGTGTGGAGATTCCTTGGAAAACTGGGAATGGAACCACCTTTTGACCCAGCTATCCCATTCCTTGGTCTAGACCCAAAGGACTTAAAAACAGCATACTACACAATTCACAGTAGCTAAACTGTGGAAGCAATCTAGATGCCCTTCAGTAGATGAATGGATAAAGAAAATGTGGTAAATATACACAATAGTATATTACTCAGCAATAAAAGAGAATAAAATCATGGCATTTGCAGGTAAATGGAAGGAGTTGAAGAATATACTGCTATGTGAAATTAGCCAATCCCCAAAAAACAAATGCCAAATATTTTCTCTGATATAAGACACTGATTCATAGTGAGGTTGGGAAGGGGGACATGGGAAGATTAGAAAAACCATAGGACAAAGAGGAGGGAGAGGAAAGGAGGGGACAAGGGTGTAGGAAAGATGGTGGAATGAGATGGACATCTTTACTCTAAGTACATGTACAAAGACATGGATGGTGTGAATATACTTTGTATATAACCAGAAATATGAATAATTGTGCTTTATGTGCCGCAGTCTGGCTGGGCACAAATCACGAGCCACTCAAGCAGGAACAAACTTTATTTCTGAACTCTCGCTAACGCCACCCATGCAGCCTTCTCCAGGACACACCACATACAAACCGGAACTCCCTCCACTGGAACTTCACTAACCAACGCGAACTCTCCAGGAATCCCCGCCAGAGCTCAACCGGAACTCAAAGGGAACTCTGTAAGAACTCAAAAGTACTGGCAAAATGCTAGGCGCCATCCCAACTCGGCTGTGGCTCTCAACATTTATGTGTAATATGAAGTATAATGCATTCTGTTTTCATATATAACAAATTAGAATAAAAAATTTTAAAAAAAGAAATTGACTATTGACTATATTGAAATTATATTCAAGTACCCTTTTTAGTTACACAGTTTTCTTTTGGTTCTCTCAAGGTTCTCTCTTTGTGAATGTTGAAAAATTAAGTGCAATGCACTTTGAGTCTTTTTGGGTTTTTTCTACTTAGGAATAATTGAACTTCTTTGATTTTGATTTATTTTTTTGCTCATATTTATCATTTCTCAGGCTGTTAAAATTGATACTGGAGATTGAATTCAGTTGCTTTTTCACTGCCCTTTGCCTTAGCTTTTTTCATTTTTAATTTCTGACAGTCTCACTAAGTTGCTGAGGCTGGCCTCAAACTTGTGATCTTTCTGCCTCAGCCTCCCAAGTTGCTAGGATTACAGTTGTGTACAAACCCTCCCCCACCACTCTCTCAGACACTATTTCTTAAGAAAGTCTTCAAGTACACTAGTTTTGCTTGTTTGTAGTAATAATTTTTGTCTGGATTTTATTCAGTTTTCTGTGTTCTGGTTTAGTTCACTAGACTTATATACTACATGCCAAATCATGGCATTTGTAGGTAAATGGATGGAGTTGAAGAATATACTGTATTTGAACTTGGGATCTCTTTTATTGCTGAGTAATATACTATTGTGTATATTTAGCACATTTTCTTTATCCATTCATCTAATGAAGGGCATCTAGGTTGGTTCCACAGTTTAGCTATTGTGAATTGTGTAGTATGCTGTAGTATAAGTAGTATAAGTCTAGTGAACTAAAGATTATTTAGGTTCCTTGTGTAATTCATAATTCCTACATTCCCAATATTCAATTCCTTGTGTTTCATTTTACCCCTGATTAATCAAGTATTCATTTTTTCTTTGCATACCATACTATTTTTGATCTGTCCATATAAAAGCCAGCCTATAGTAGATTAATAGTCATTTTGGAAAACAATATGGATGTTAGTAAAGAACTGAAAAACAGGAAGCACTGTGCCACATGTTTGAAATTCCAGGTAATTGGGAGGACTTGCAAGAGGTGTGTCACACCATGTCTCAAAATAAACAATTTTAAAGGGGTTTGTGTTTGTAAGTCAGTGCTGCAACACTCTTGGGCTTAATCTTAAGCACCACACATAAAAAGTTAGGAGTAGAATGCCCCTGTGATCCAGAAAAGCAAGTTCCAAACAGGTAACCAGAAGAGATTAAGTCAGCATGTTGCAGAGAGGGCTCCACTACTGCTTCAGTGCAGACACTGTTCACAGTACTCAAGACATGGACTCCACCTATGTGCCCATCTGGGGTTGGATGGGTAAAAAATATGATATTTATACACAATGAATTAATAATAGAAAAGAGATATCTTGTCAAGTGAAGTGACATGGGATAAATATGCAGGGCTTTACATTACATGAAATAAGGAAGTCACAGAAAGTAATTTGCAGCCTCTTCTGACTCACATGTGGAACTCACAAGTGCAGAGAGTAAAATGGTTACTAGCTCCTATGTATTAGGAGTGTTGGTCAAAGACTGAAATACATTATTTTAAAGGACAAAAGAAATATTGATCCCAGAAACACTTAAATATTGAGCCACATCCCAAGCCCTTTTATTATTTTTTATTTTGTTACAGGGTCTCACTAAGTTACTTACAGCCTCAGTAATTTGCTGAGGCTGTATTTGAACTTGGGATCCTCCTGCCTCAGTCTCCTGAGTTGTGAGGATTCAGGCTTGTGCCACCACACTGGCTAATGTACTGTATTCTTGATGAATGCTAAGAGAATGAATGCAATGTTTTCTAAGTAGTAAAATGGTGATTATATAAAATAACAAAATGTTTTTTAGCTAGATTTAGTCATTTCACCATGTATTTATATTTTCAAATACCATGAAATACTTGGTAAATACATGCCATTTTATTTGCCAATGAAATGAATCCATGAATAACCAAAATTATAAAACTTAAAAAGCAAGTCATTTGTCTTGGTCTCCATGTGTTGACTTCATCCAGGTAATACTGACACAGGGTGTGTTGTGTGTGTGTGTTTATCATTAAAAAGATTAGCCCATTTTTCTCCTTAGACACAATAGGTTCTTTGTCCCTGTAGAATATCTGTGTTATGGTCATTCAAAATCTGTTATAGACAGGTCTTTCTCATGGTAGACAGACAGGGGTTTTCAGACAATCCCCAAGAAAACCAGAAATGTTCACATTTTACATTTTCCTTTTCTTATTGAGAGAGAAGAAGGGAGTTGGTAGCTTTTCCCTAATTGTACAATGGTGCATTCTAGAGGAGGAAGGCCAGGAGTGGATAAAAATAACACACTTTCCTTTCCTCTGTTATATTACTCTTTAACTATATACTCCTCTTGGACACTGTGAATTCTCAGATGATTTGGATAATTCTCACAAAGTAAATTTGTCTGTCCATTGTTATTTAGCTCATATATTTATGGAGTAATTATGGTCTTTGATGTACTATTCTGCCACCACATTGATGTCCTGACAGCTATAATTTCATGTTATATTTTAAAAGTATATTCTCAGTCTAATATGTAAAATAATTATTATTTTCATTTTTTTAGGCATGACTTCTCATCATACCCAGGAAATTTTACCAGAACCCATCAGAGAACATTTATTTAAAAAAGTGATAAAGAGAAGATATGGAAATTGTGACCTTGACTATTTACAACAAAAGAAAATACAGAACAGTGTAGATAACAGTGAAGGTCAGAAATCATATTATGAAGGACAAGACCAATTAATAGTGACTGTCCTTAATACCATCAATAGTCCTCAAGAACATTTAATAGCTCAGAAGAGTATTCAATTTATAACTGAAGGACAAGTTTCTCAAAGTGTTGATTTTGAAAATTTCTTTACAAACTGTCCATTATTCTGCAGTGAACAAAGAATTCCTTCTTGGGCCCAAACATACACTTTTAATGATGGTGGAAAGGCTCCTATATACTCCATACTACTTAACCAAAATTCAGATTTAGATTTCGGCAAAGTGTGCAACACATGTAATGAAACAAGCAACACTTTCAGCCAGGTCTCTACACTAAGCAATTACCAGTGTCCTTATGTTGGAGAAAAAAAGTATGAATGTAGCAAAACACAGAAGAACTCTAGCTTTGGTTGCAATAAAAGAGAACATCAGTGTGGCCATTGTGCACAGAACCTTTACAGAGATGACAAATGTGGGAACATCCTTCTTCAGTGCTCAAAGCACCATGGGAGTACTCAGAGCCAAGAGGCGCCTTGCAAATGTGAGGAATGTGAGAGAGCTTCTCACTCAACTGCAAGCCTTCCTCAATACAGTGGAGCTCATCCTGGAAGAGAGCCCCCCAAATTTAAGGAATGTATTCAAGCAGGGAGTTCCACACCACTTTCTAAACATCACAGGTACCATAGTGATCAACACTACAAATGTGAAGAATGTGGCAAATCCTTTATTAATTGCTCAACCATTTCTAAACACCTGAGATGGCATAGCAGTGAGAAACCCTACAAATGTCAAGAATGTGAAAAAAATTTTAAGAATTTTTTAACTCTTACTCAACAACAAAGGATTCATATGGGAGAAAAGCCCCACATATGTGAAGAATGTGGCAAAGGTTTTACTAAAAGAAGACAACTTACTCAACACCAGAGAATTCATAGTGGAGAGAAGCCCTATAAATGTGAAATTTGTGGCAAAGCTTTTAATAAAAGATCACATGTTACTCAACACCAGAGTACTCATACTGGAGAGAAACCCTACAAATGTGAAGAATGTGGGAAAGGATTTACTCAAAGAGCATATTTTACTCTACACTATAGTATTCATACTGGAGAGAAGCCCTACAAATGTAAAGAATGTGGGAAAGGATATACTCAAAGAGCAGGTCTTACTCAACACCAAAGAATTCATAGTGGAGAGAAGCCCTACAAATGTGAAGAATGTGGGAAAGGATTTACTCAAAGACCAAGCCTTATTCGACACCAGAGTATTCATACTGTAGAGAAGCCCTACAAATGTCATAAATGTGGGAAAGAATTTACTCAAAGAGTACATCTTACTCTACACCACAGTATTCATACTGGAGAGAAGCCCTACAAATGTAAGGAATGTAGCAAAGCTTTTAGGTGTAATTCATTGCTTACACGACACCAGATAATTCATACTGGAGAGAAGCCCTACAAATGTAAAGAATGTGGGAGAGGATATACTCAAAGAGCACACCTTACTCAACATCAGAGAATTCATACTGGAGAGAAACCCTACAAATGTGAAGAATGTGGGAAAGGATTTACTCAAAGACCAAGCCTGACTCTACACCAGAGTACTCATATGGTAGAGAAGCCCTATAAATGTGAAGAATGTGGGAAAGGATTTACTCAAAGAGCCAACCTCACTCTACACCAGCGTATTCATACTATAGAGAAGCCCTACAAATGTAAGGAATGTGGCAAAGCTTTTAGGTGTAATTCATTGCTTTCTCGACACCAGAAAATTCATACTGGAGAGAAGCCCTACAAATGTAAAGAATGTGGGAAAGGTTTTATTCAAAGTTCACACCTTACTCAACACCAGAAAATTCACACTGGAGAGAAGCCTTACAAATGTGAAGAATGTGGGAAAGGATTTATTCGAAGAGCAGATGTTACTCGACACCAGAGTATTCATACTGTAGTGAAGCCCTACAAATGTAATAAATGTGGGAAAGCTTTTAGGTATAAATCAAGTCTTACCCAGCACCAGAGAATTCATAATGCAGAGATTCAATGTTAAGAATGTGGGAAAGGTTTTAATGAAAGAGTATGGCTTATTCTTCACCAGACTAATCATAAAAGGGAGAGGTAATGCAAGTGTAAAAACTGTTGCATATCTTTTAGCAATTGCTCAGGCTTATCACTGGAGAATTCATAGTGTATAGAAACCCTAACAATGTAAATACTGTGCCCAAGTCTTTACTCAAATTTCAAATTTTCCTTAACATCAGAAACCTGATACCTATAGGGGATGTGGAAAGACATTTGCCTGAAATATATGCCTTAAAAAATAGCAAAATATCAACAGTGAAGAAAACACCTTAAGGAATATAAAAAAATATAGCAAAGCTCTTATCTGTACCTTGATTCTTGATGTATGTGAGAGGGAAATGAGGAATTGCCTTTAACATTTGCTTAAAATTTGTTAAGCATCCTTACCTGCTGGGGTAGAAATAAAGAAATTCTCACAAGTGTCATAAAATAGTGTAGAACTCTTGTCTCTGGAAGAAGGTAAATTTATTGTAAATCAAAGATTTCTCAATATTTTCACTTTTGAAAACTGGAGGAAACAATTGTAACTTAAATTCATTTATCAGAAGATGACTTGTTTCTGAGAGTTGTCAATCTATAATTTCAACTATTTACAGTGGATTTTGAAATACTTTATTCACATTATTATGAATTTTGTCACAAAATAAAAGTAAAATTTGTTAATGTATTAGTATTGTTAGGTATTTACTCGTGGTAGTATGTCACAGGTATTACAGTGTTCTTCTTTACTAAAAGTTCTGTGCAACAGATAGTAAAAACATATGTTATAGTTAAAGCTTTGTCCTGGGGTTTCATAAACTGACTTCCAGACCACTCACGTATAGTCAAATCAAGCCTTTATTGAAGCACACCGGTGGCCGCTGACCAGAACTTAAAGCTATTCCCCTGATCAGCCCGAACAATTGCAAGGGTGCTCCTTATAAGCCTGAAAACCGCAAAAGGGATGTTTGGGGGTCTAGCCAAGGCAAGCAAGCCAGGTTACAGAGGTGGGAGAGTACAATCAAGCGGCTGGAAACCTAACCAATCTCAGCCCAGTCACCCCAGTTACAGAAATAGAGCCCCATTACCCTAGTTACAGAACAATGCCCCATTAGGTAGTTCCCTGTTCTTAAAGGTTTCTATAGCAAAAGGAAAAAGAACATTTTGCCCTGGTCATGACCCTTCTACTTGGCATGGTTGTTTTACAGGATGAAGTCATAATACAAAATGGAGTCACATTTGCTTCTCCTATCATGCATACTAAAAAATGTCCATGAATCTTTTTAGAAACATCAACTCATTTGGAGAATAGTATTCCCCCAAATCAGAATACTAATTATGTATTATGGTGATCTTAAGACAGTTATAGGTAAGATATAAGAACAGGAAAATAAACCCCAAATTTCTCTATCTTGAATTAGTACTTTCAAATTTTACCCTACAGGGGCTGGGAACAGTGGCACATACCTTTAATCCCAGCAACTGAAGAGGCTAAGGCAGGAACATCCCAAGTTTAAAGCCAGCCTCAGCAACTTAGTGAGACCCTGTTTCAAAATTAAAAAAACAAAAAGACCTAGGAATGTGGCTCAGTCTTTAAGCATCCCTGGATTCAATCCCTGGTACCAAAATGATTTTTTTAACATTATAGAATAAGAGTAGTCCTAAGGGCTCTGCAATTTTGGAGAGCAACACAGCTTTCAAACATAGGGACTTTAAATACCCCAGAAATTAGGAGCCACCAGTGCGTATTTTGTAAAAAGAAGGGCCATTGGAAGAAATATTCCTAATGGTTGCCCAGGAAGCCATGTGGACAGCTGGACACTGACGCATCCTGGCTCCTGGTATGTTGGTAGAAAACAACTAAAATACTGAGGAAGCCAAGGAGTTCCTCACGAAGAGCCCTCTGAGGGGTCTTGACTCACATCGAAAAATTTAGAAAACTATTTTTGCCCATTATTAAATACCTATTTAGCCTTGGACAACCAGCAGGGAACTATAACCAGAAACAAGTACCCAATAATGGGGGGAAAAGAAAAAGAGCCATACTAACAGAGCATCTAAACTCCCACATAATTATATATCATTTCACTTTGGCTACTTTTTATTTGACTCTAAAATTTATCATAGTAATTATACATCGGGGATCAAAGGATAGAGAGTACATGGCACAGGCTGACACTGAGTCCTGATGAAGTATCCAGATTACACCTGTCCCTTTTTAGGTCTTACAGGAACAGGAGCACATGTCATTACAGAGAAGAAAACAAAGGTCTTGTTTAGATGAGCCACTGGAGTATATATAAGTCATGTTCAAAAGCTAATCCCAGGGCTGGGGATGTGACTCAAGCGGTAGCACGCTTGCCGGGCATGCTTGCGCCCGGTTCGATCCTCAGCACCACTTACAAACAAAGATGTTGTGTCCGCCGAAAACTAAAAAATAAATATTAAAATTCTCTCTCTCTCTCTCTCTCTCCAAAAAAAAAAAAAAAAAAAAACAGGGAATGGTGGTATATGCCTGTAATCCCAGCAGCTCAAGAGGCTAAGGCAGGAAGATCTAAAGTTTACAGCCAGCCCCAGCAATTTAATGAGGCCCTAAGCAAATCAGTGAGATTCTGTCTCTAAATAAAATACAAAAATGGGCTGGGGATGTGGCTCAGTAGTTAAGCAACCCTGGGTTCAATCCTCGATAACAAAAAACTAAACACAAAATAAAACATATTACCTTACATTTTTTCTTTGTGTTAGCCCTTTGGATCAATGGAACAGCAGGGAGTTTGGGGATATACTTCCTAAACTACATATGCTTCATTGGTGATTTCATATAGGTCACACTGATGTAGGACAGATGGGCCTGAGTCCCAAGGAATTTGCAAGATGCAGGTTGATTAGCTTTAGCAGTCCAGAGGAACTAAGGCTGGAAAATCTCTGATCCAGGGTTGACAAATACTTTGAGATTCAGTGGGTGTTTACATGACAGTGGGTGGTTACATAGCAGTAAGTCTTTGTCCCATGTTTTCAGGACAGACAGGTTTCACAGGTTTTTCCAAGGAAAACATTATTTGTTTGTATAGCAAGCTCTCTTGAGACAGGGTCTGTTACAACATTCGTCTGCAAACCTGGCATTTACAAGAAAGATGAAGCTTTTGGGGTTACATTAGCACTTTGATAATAATCTGGATAATATTCAGGATATATTGGTTTATGTCATTACAATCAATTTCACCTGTTTTTAATTTTTTAATGTGAATATTAGGAAATTTTAAGTGACCCTTGTGCTTCACATATGGTTTTCATTGGCCATTGCTGCCTTAAGGGATTGCTTCCCAGGCCAAGCTGCAGACTCACACCAGGAGAGAGCAGGAAAGTTAAATGAAATTGCACAGTAATTGTCATTATATTATTTCTACTGGTGAATATTATGCAGACATATAATTCATAAGGTGAAGTCACCTTGTATGCGAGGTTCATCGCACATGTCCTCTGGCAGTGCTAGATCACTCTTCTAAGAGGAAACTTTGCCTTTCATTAGCTGTAGCCTGAGGCCCTCTTGTCCAATTCGCAGATCTTTGGTGGAAAAGTAAAAGCTGTCACCAGGAACCTGTCATTCTGGCCTCACTGATTCCTAGGGCTCTCTGGGCTCAGCCTGCGGGTGGGTCTGCAGCCCTGTGCAGTGGAGAGCACTCGGGGAGAACCCTCCAATTCCGGCACAGCCAGCGAGGACAGGGCGGCTTCCGTGATCTGGCCAGGCCCTTTCCTTCTGAGCCACCCTTCTCGCCATCTGGCCCTAGGCTTCTGTTGCCAGCCCTGGGGTCTCACTGGCTTTGTCCTGCAGATGCTGAAGATCCCTGGTGGCCGCCTGGCTCCCAAGCGCCAGGAAATGGTGAGTGTGGCGGGGCCTCTTGAGCCTGGGGAGGGAGGTCATTGGAACCTCGAGACTGGCTGAGGTGACACCAGGAGCTGCTGGAGACTCTGGGGTCTGTGGCCTGAGCCCTCCTCCTGGCAGTGCCCCCTCAGTCCTGGCCAGCCAGGTGGGGAGCATGCCATCAGTGGAGCTCCTGCCCAGCCTGCTGCACCCCCTCAGCTAGCCCTAGAGAGTCAGCAGCCCCGTGTTCCCAGGTGGGTGGTGATTGACAAGTGGGACCGCGGTTGGAGAAGTCTCTCCACGTGGGATTTTCCTGCAGGAGAGGATCAGTGTGGCAGTCCAGCTGCAGCAAAATAAGGGGGTGGGGGTGAAGAACGACTTGTGTAGATCAATACAGCAGGAGTGGGAGCCGTTTATTGTAGGACAGGAGGAGTATACATACATTCCACACAGCTTATCTTAATTAGCATAAACTAGATACAGCAGTCAACCAATAAGGAATGCTCGCTGGCATTACTTCACAAACCACTCCCTCTGGCAAAATGCCAAGTGCCATCCTGACTTGTTTACAGACTCTAACATTTCCCCCTTTTGTTTAATTTAAATAAAGACCATAGTGGTTTTTACACAAACACCATAAATAATCTGTTACAAGCAGAAGGGGGGGATACAAAATGCCACAATACCAAGCCAATTGATGGCTCCATGCAAGAAGCCCTTGGAAAAATTATACTAGCAATGACACCGTTAGCAAAGATACCGAGTTACAATTTGTTGTAGATTACAGTTTGTTGTCTCAGTCCAGGTAAAGCAGTGTCTCAATAGATTAACTCACAGTCCAGGTAAATCACCGTCCAGGTAAGTTCTGTAGGCAGCTAGCTTAAATCACAGTCCAGGTAAGTTCTGCAGGCAGCTAGCTTGATCCTAAGTCTCGTCTGGTTCTCAGCAACACTGGAAATTCTTCCACTCTCATCCTCACCTGCACTGGGATGAAGGCAGGAACTCCAGCAATGATGCTAAAGAAAATCCTGTAGTATTCCACTAAGAAAACAACCTTCTGAACAATTTAGTACATTATCTCAAGTTTTTTTTACATTTGAAATAAGCCTTAATAGTGCTCATTACTCATTAGCTTCCAGGTGTGGGAGAACCATTGTAGTTACTGGCCTTGGAAATGATCAAACTTCAGGGATGCAGGCCATCTTCCACCTGCAGCAATCCGGGCAGCCCCAGGTGGCCCCGGGGAGAGTCCGGGGAGTGTTCTGGACTCAAACTGCCACTGGGCACAGGGAGCAAGAGCCTGCGAGACTGTGCCTCTGGGTCAGGTTTGGATTTGGGCTCTCAGTGGCGTCCTGCTCCCGGGGCGGGGGGCGGGGGGCGGGGAAGAGCCCGCTGCCGCTGCTTGGAAAGTCCTTGCTGCACCAAGACCGGCTTGCGCACGTGGCAGCTGCCGTGCCGATTCACGCACCCTCCGGTAATGAAAAGTATTCAGTAATACCTTTTTGCTGCAACTTTTTTCCTGATAATCCTTCTTCTTCTGAACTTCTTTTTCTTTCTGACTAGAGTCCCTGGGCTTTTATCAACACATGCTCTAATTGCTCTTGGTTCCACTGGGGTGCCTTCTTCCCTTGGTAATTTACTTCTCACCCCTTCCATATTTTCATCACAAAGACAATACAATACACCAAGACAAAACAAGACACAAACATACTGTCTCAATCTTCTGCATTTTCTCAAAATGGCCATTTTTCCTCTTGCCCTATCTGCCTAGGGACAAGCAGATTTGCTCCCGTCCTATCTAGGGACGGGCAGTTTTTTTTTTCGTCACTTACCCCCAGTGTCCCGGGGCTCCCCATAACGGGCCACCATCTGCCGCGGTCCGGCTGCTGCAAAATAACCCGGGGGGGGGGGGGGTGACGAATGACTTGTGTAGATCAATATAGCAGGAGTGGGAGCCGTTTATTGTAGGACAGGAGGGGTATATATACATTCCACACAGCTTATCTTAATTAGCATAAACTAGATACAGCAGTCAACCAATAAGGAATCTCCACACTTAATGGCTCGCTGGTGTTACTTCACAAACCACTCCCTCTGGCAAAATGCCAGGCACCACCCTGACTTGTTTACAGACTCTAACAGCAGTGGCTCTGGGCCTTGCTGCCGCCGTCCTCCTGAGCTAGCTGGCTTTCTTGCTTTTTCTCCCTCCTCCCCAACCTTCCTTCCGCAGGGTGCTTTACCAGGAGCTCCATCCCTGGTTCTGATGTAGGGCAGAGGGGGCGGCACCTGAGGAATTCGCGGGCAGCAGGTTTACTTAAGTTGCAGCCGTCCAGATGGAGCAACGCAGGGACCCTGGTAGGGAACTTCTCTGAGATTTATAGTCAGTGCGTGGTTACAGGGCAGCTACTCCTTGTCCCATATTTGTAGGTGACACAGGTTGTTACCAAGGGAAACAAAAATGAAGCTTCTGTTCAGCAAGCTCCCTGAGACAGTCTGTGACATCTGTCTGCAAACTTGGCATTTACAAGAAAGAGCAAGCTCAACCCACAGTGAGCGCTCTGGAGGAAAAATACTGCTGACATTCTTTATAACAATCTTGGTGACAAGAAGAGAAACTTAATTTTGCTAGTGGTTGTTTTGGGGCTACATGAGTACTTTTTATTTTTTATTTTGAGACAGGGTGTAGCTAAGTTGCTGAGACTGGCCTACGTATGGTTGAATTTATACAGACGTTTCTATTGAACTTAAGAATACAAATTTCAGCCAGGTGCGGTGGGGTGGTGCATACCTATAATCCCAATGGCCCGGGAGGCTGAGACTGGAGGATTGAGAGTTCAAAGCCAGCCTCAGAAACTTAGCGAGGCCCTATGCAACTCAGTGAGACCCTATCTTTAAATAAAATACACACACACACACACACACAAAAGGCTGGAGATGTGGCTCAGCGGTTAACTGCCCCTGCGTTTAAACATATGTATATTCATCTGTATATTTTGTTTATACTCTGATTCTCTGATCATTATGGTAATATTATAGTTTCATAATATACACTACCTAGTAATGATAGCTACTTCTTTTGCTTTTATAATTAAAAGGTTTCTTGGCTAAGTTAACATATATTAAACCTTGTGGATAAATTTTATAAACTAATTCTTCGTTCCTTATTCCATTAAAAATAAAGCATTCTGGGGCTGGGGTTGTGGAACAAGTGGTAGTGTGCTCACCTAGCACGTGTGAGGCACTGGGTTTGATTCTCAGCACCACGTAAAAATAAAATAAAGATATTGTGTCCTAAAACTAAAAAATAAATAATTCTTAATTTTTTATTAGTACATTATAGATATATATCGTGTTGGGATTCATTAGACATAATCATACAAGCATGAGTATAATTTGCTTCATTTTAGTGGTATTTCCCCTTTCCCTTTCCTCCTAGCTTCCCATTCCCCCTCCTCTCCTGGTCTTCCTTCTATTTATTTATAGTTTTAAACTACTGCTTTATAGATAAACAAAGAGGTGAAATTCATTGTGATATATTTATATATGAACATAGCAGTTTTGATGAGATAATATTATAGATTAATTTGGGGGAAATGGTTATTCTTGTAATGATGATTTTTGTCATCTGCACATTGGGGTGTGTAATTGAGCCTTTCTTTAAAATATTTTTTTCAGTTGTTGATAGACCTTTATTTTATTTATATGTGGTACTGGCAATCAAACCCAGTGCCTCACACATGCCAGGTAGTTGCATTACCACTGAGCCCCAGCCCCAGCCTTATAATTGAGTCTTTTATGGACTACTGTATATTTTAGTTTCTCATAAATCCTACACATTTCTCTTAATGAACATGTTCCCATGTGAAATACAACATTCGTGTAAATCTGTTTGAAACTCATGTGGTGCCGGGCTCAGTGGCCCTGAGTCTATTACAACAGTTTGTAATCCCAGTGGCTCAGGAGGCTGAGGCAGGAGCATCCTGAGATCCATCAAACTCAGCAACTTAGCAAGGCCCTAAGCAACTCAGTGAGACCCTGTGTCTAAATAAAATACAAAAAAGTTGGGGATGTGGCTCAGGGGTTGAGTGCCCCTGGGTTTAATCCCTGGGTTTAATCCCTGAAGACAATCTCACATGGTGTAAACTTGTGTGTGTCCGTCCTAACCTTGTCAAAATGACTTTCCCCTAAGTAGAGTTTATGACACTGGGTTCTCATTATCCCCTCTGATATTTTCCTGATCCCATGTTTCAGAACTCCTCAATGCGAGGATCCCACAGCTGGCCTGTCTAAGTTCTTTTGGAGTGTCTCATGAACATCAGTACCTGGGTCTTAACCTATTAGAAAGCTGTCTGAATTTAGGGGTGTAGTCTCTCAGGAGTAGCTAAGTGTCCTGCAGGTGGGAGGAATCTCCTGGTGCACCCTTTATCCAAAAGACACTTTTTTCCTTACCTTGGCTACTGTGTATACTGCCAAGTGATGATGAGTATGAAGTCTTTTATTAGTAGAGGGATTCCAGTTCCTTTGGCTGTATACCCAGTATTATTATCACTGTATCATATAGTAGTTCTATATTTAGGTTTTAAATAGCCTTCATGCTACTGGTCACAATGTCTTCAGTCTCTATGTGACAACTCCTAGGGCTGTACCTTGCTTCTCATTCATATAGAGTCTTAACACCTTTTTGGGTCAGGCAGGCCTAGGGCAGGGGGCTGTCATGAGGCTTTGTTTTAACCTCCCAAAGACAGCCTTATCTTTCTGGTGTACAATCATGTTTAATTTCTGTTCCTTTTTGTTCTTCATACAGACATTTAGCTATTTATCTAAAATTAGGGATCCAAATATGGCAGAACCATGACATTCTCAGGAATAAACCTGTCTCTTGATCCTGACTTCTTAATATAGCCTGCTTTCAATCTGACATCAAACTCAGGTTCATTTGCTAATTTAATATTTCAGATAGGTGACTGTTTTACAAAACTGAGCCTTAGTAGTGGACACCTCATTTCCACATGAGGTGA